TCGACTTCTCCCAACCCTTTGTGCGAGCTGGTCGAAGTCGAGCACAGATTTCAACAGCTTCACAGCTGTTGAACCAAGTTTTTCGAGTCGACTTCTCCTCTCCCAACCCTTTGTGTGAGTTGGTCGAAGTCGAGCACAGATTTTAACCGCTTCACAACTATTGAACCGAGTTTTTCGAGTCGACTTCTCCCAACCCTTTGTGCGAGCTGGTCGAAGTCGAGCACAGATTTCAACAACTTCACAGCTGTTGAACCAAGTTTTTCGAGTCGACTTCTCCCAACCCTTTGTGCGAGCTGGTCGAAGTCGAGCATAGATTTCAACAGCTTCACAGCTGTTGAACCGAGTTTTTCGCCACTGTTGATAGTCTTATTTAGTGGGTTGCGTGGTTAATTCCTATTTATGCTTTAGTTGGGGTACAACTTCGCAGTTGTTTAGGTCGACTTCGTAGTTGTAGGCTTCGTAGCCTTGCCGAGATTCCACTCGAGGCATACAACTTCGTAGTTGTTTAGGTCGACTTCGTAGTCGTAGGCTTCGTAGCCTTGCCGAGATTCCACTCGAGGCATACAACTTCGTAGTTGTTTAGGTTGACTTCGTAGTCGACGTAGTTGGTCAGCGATATAGCCGTTTCGAAAAATTCAGTTCACTCAGCAATAAAAAAAGTCGATGCGTAAATATAAAGACATGTTAGAAGCGTAAACAAAATTTATTTCATTACTGGATATAATTTGATCGTTGCCCAGTACAAAAGGAGAACTCAAAACATTGCTTAAGCATAAAAACGTTTGAGATGGATCACATGCCAAGATCGCGGTAGCTGTCGACCTTCTGCATCCTCGAGTTCATACGCACCTCGCTCAAGCACCCTTGTGACTGTGTATGGCCCTTCCCAGTTAGCTTCCAGTTTCCCAACATGCTTGAGAGCGTCGGCTCGTTTTAAGACGAGGTCTCCTACTTGAAAACGCCTGGCTCGGACTTTCTTGTCGAAGGTTGCACGCATCTTTTGCTTATACTCCACGGATCGCAACCAGGCTTCCTCTCGCATCTCTTCTATCATGTCGAGGGCTCCCTTTGCTAACTCTTCATTGTTCTTTTCCTCATAGAATGTCGACCTGTGAGATTCCAAGCCGACTTCGATGGGCAATAGAGCTTCCATTCCATAAACCATGTGGAATGGTGATTGTCCTGTCGAACTCCTCGGAGTCGTCCTATAAGCCCATAGGACCGTCGTCAGCTCGTCGACCCAGGAACCAGATGCTTTTTCCAATCTCTTCTTTAGTCCCTGCAAGATGGTTCTGTTTGTTACTTCGACTTTGCCATTTGCCTGTGGGTGCGCAACTGAGGCAAATCGCTGCTTGATCCCCATGTCGACACACCATGCTTGGATCCGCTTCCCTTGGAATTGTGTTCCATTATCTGAAATCAAGATCTTTGGGATCCCGAATCGACAGCAAATATTGTTGAACAGGAATTGTATCATCTTGTCCTCGGTGATTTTCGCCAAAGGCTCTGCCTCCACCCATTTACTAAAGTAGTCGATGGCGACCACCATGAATTTCCTTTGCTCTGTTCCCATCAGTAATGGGCCTACCAAATCGATTCCCCATTGAGCAAAAGGGATTGGACAGTTGATCGTTGTCATGGCCTCGGCTGGAATGTGGGGGATTCGACCATGGCGCTGGCATTTGTCGCAAACTTGTACCAATCGTTCGACTGCTTTCCGGATCTTGGGCCAATAATAGCCTGCTCGAAGGGCTTTGCCAGCCAGGGCTCGCGATCCTATATGCGCTCCGCAACACCCCTCATAGATCTCCCTCAAGACATGATCCCCTTCTTCCTCGGAAACGCATCGCAGGTGGGGTCCGACCATCGACTTCTTATATAAGACCCCTTCGATCTCAAAATATTTTCTCAGATATCGGGCTGCTTTCTCCGTCTCCTGTTTATCTCCTTCTGGTACTCGACCTTGTAATAGCTCACGAATTGCTCTTCGCCAATC